ATAAATATAAAAATAAAAACTCTGGAGTGCCAGTTAAATGTTACTCTCATTAATTTACTGCAGACTTAAGGGAGTAGCATGGATTTTAATCTTCATAAGGAAGTATTAATTTCCTGTTCACCTCTTGCCCATAGTGGCAAGAGGAAAATGCAGGTGGATCTTGCTTAAGATCCGAGAGTGTCAGAAAAGAGATGAGGCAGCAAGTCCCATGGCTATGTAGCATCTGTATCAGTGTTTCTCAACCTTGGCAACTTGAAGATGTCTGGACTTCAACTCCAATTCTGGCTGGGGAATTCTGGGAGTTGAAGTCCGGACATCTTCAAGTTGCCAAGGTTGAGAAACACTGATACAGATAGTCCTCAACGTATGACCACAGTTAAGCCCAAAATTTCCATAGCTAAGCAAAACAATTGTTAAGTGAATTTTGCTCCATTTTACGACCTTCCTTGCTACAGTTGTTACATGAATCACTGCACTTGTTAAGATAGTTACATGGTTGCTAAGTGAATCTGGTTTGCGCATTGACTTTGCTTGTCAGGAGGTCACAAAAAGGGACCACATCAGCAGAACTGTCATAAATACATGCCAGTTGCCAAGCGTCTGAATTTTGATCACATGACCACAGGTGTACTGCAACACTCATGTTAAAAAAAACGGGCCTGTCACTTTTTCCCAATGATGTTTTAACTCCACAAATGGCCATGAAACGTATGGTTGTAAGTTGAGGATGACCTGTACCACCATTCAATCATCATTCCAGCATGGATGGTTATGAGATCTCGCCTTGAAAAAGATTGGATTTGCCTCTTTTGCTTCTTTCTTGAATCCAGTGCTGAAACTCAGTAAGGAAAGGGATGTCAAGCTATAGAGACGCTACCCACGTTCTGCTATAAGCCATTCTTATTTCATATTTGACCTTCTTGGAAAAGCCCCACTGGCCCTGAGTTAGACAGGCCTTGCAGGTTTCCATATCACCTGCCCAAATTGAAGGGTCAAGCCAACCTGTGTGTTACCTTTCTTCTAATGCACGTCACAGAAATGCTCAGATACATTTCTGAAGCTAGAGGAAGTTGAAATATCTTCTGGTCATCTAGAAATGACCAGCACTTGTTTCTACTGTACAGTACCTCGCTCCTTCCTGACTTATCCCGTTAAGGCAGCTGCAGGGGGATTTTTTTTTTTTAAAGGCACGGCTGACCTTATGCTGGTTTTATAAGCCCAGTCGATCAAGTCACCTATGGGAAATCCATTTCACCTGCTAAAAATTAAGACAGTGGGCTTATTGACTTTGTGCTAAATTTAGGAGAACACAGCATGCCTCAGATATTTTTAAGCTCCCCAAACACATCTGTAGGAAGTCCAGCGCCTGTGATATGCAACCTACGGCAGGAGTACTGGTATCAGTTGACCTAATCCCTCAATCCAACTCCCACGTGGCCACAGGCTAGTTTCTCTGTTGCAAAGGTTGATGCTTTAAAGGGACCTCAGCTCTAGAATCATTAGCCGGCCAGGAGGGCAAGGAGATATGGAGCCAAGCAAATGCTCAGGGGTCTCCCTTTGTCTAAAGACTTGATGAGCTTAACTTTGTCTGGCAAACAAGCAGCCCAGCCAGCCTCTTAGGGGCGAAGTGCATCCTGGCCCAGCAAGTCCCACGCCAGATGATACAGAACCTGTGAATACCAGTGCACGCCTGTTTCTTGAGCACTGCAGTTTCTGGAGTCCCCCTTCAGGGACAGCAGTGAGAAGATACCATAGACAAAGCGCAAGGGGGCAAAGGCATAGTGAGCCCAATGGTGACTTTCAAGGACTGCGTAGCAGGAGGCCAGCACCTCATTGACCAGGATCGTGCCATGAGTGGTCAAGGGGGCATAGACACCAGTGCCCTCTTGCTGCCAAACACGGACAACTCGGGCAGGATGCAAGGGAAGGTCGCTCCCCTGGTATGTCAAAACAGAGTCCCCCACACACACTCTGCTGGCAAACACAGGAGAGAAGTCTGTTGTGCTGTTGACCGGGTCCCGTGCAACGAAGATGAGATGAGAGGATGTAAGTAGCAGCCGGCGAACAGGTTCTTCTGTCTCGATGGCCACGAAGAGGGTCTGCTGGTGTGGCTCCCGGTGGAGGAAGAGCAGAACCTCACTAAGGGTCACTTGTCCGTTCTGATCTACGCTGAATACATAGTCTCCGTGGCGCAGCTTGGAGAGGCTCCTCTTCTCGCCGCTCCGCAGCGTCACGGTCGCATCACCAGGGAAGCAGCCGCCTGCACGAATAGCCATGGAGTTATCTAGGGAATTTAACAGGCAACATCATGAGCTGGGCTGCGTTTGGGTTCTGGTTCCCTGGGTTCAAGGTTGAGAGCCTCCTGTCTTTGACTGCATTTGGGAGCCTCCTAGAGCAGGGGTGTGAAACGTGCAGCTCACGTTTCCCATCCCCGTTTTAGCGAACGGAGAAAATTTGCAATATGTCACATGACGACGTGTCATCACGAGTTTGACACCCCTGTCCTAGAACATCTAATTTCCCTGCCAGGTGTTGTTGCAGAGATGGTATTCAGCAGGTTCTGACCAGTACTGGAGAACCAGTAGCAGAAATTTTGAGTAGTTTGGAGAAC